GGAAATCCTGCGGCAGGTTTACAGTTGTGGATCGATCGAACCGGCCGAAGTGCCGATGCTTCTCAATCAATTTCACGATCGGCTGGCTCTGCCGTTCTTGCGATCAGCTGGCTGATCAATTGGAGCTTCCGGCAGCGGTTTTTCTCACTGCGGGGCCCACTAGAACGGTTTAGGGATTGATTGCCGTCGTCAATGGCCCACTTTAGCGGCTGGGATACGCGGATTAACAAACCTGAGTTCCACTTCAGTTTCAGTGGTTATCAATGGACGTTGATGAAGCCCGCTGGATGGCCGAACGTGAGAATAATATTCTACGCGCGGATGGTTGGCGTGTATTGGGCGGTATTGATTGGAGTGTCGGGGATTAGGGTTTTAGAATTAGCGTGCGATCTTGTTGAGCAGATGAGGCTGGATGTGTGTTGGGATCTAAATGATTCTGGCTCTGAACGTGAGGTGTCTACTGTGTCTGTTTGTTTGATATTGTATTGCAAGAGTACTCTTTGTTTAAGAATGATAGTATTGTGTACATGTGTAGCTATGAATTTGTAATATTTATTTGCATACACATAGGGAATATTATGCTACTTGTATTAAAGGGTTCAAGATTATACTATTTGCTTGATTTGTCAGGGACTAATACTACTACTACATAAAATAAAGAATTCTTGGTTGTAGTAGCTATTTGATTTATGGACTTATATTATTTGCACTACCAATCACGAATTCTTAGTTCTGCTATTGTAATAGCAGTACAATAATGTATAATAAGTACAAAGAGTTCTGTTTGTTTAAGAATGATAGTGTTGTGTGTATGTGTAAGTATGAATTTGTAATATTTATTTGCATATACATAGCAAAGATTATGCTACTTATACTATTTGCTTGATTTGTTAGAGACTAATAATACTGCTACATAAAATAAAGAATTCTTGGTTGTAGTAGCTATTTGATTTATAGTTTTATATTATTTGTACTATCAATCACAAATTCTTAATTCTACTACTGTAATAGATGTACTAGTATACTGCATATACTACTTGGTACATTTGAAATGTTCTTACTCCCTTTGGTTGATTCAAATATGTCCTATACTGCTGGGTTTGTATAAGAAAAAACTTTATACTACTTGTCTGACCAGTGAAATATTAACACTACTTATTTGATTAACTGAATTATACTTGTACTATCAAGGTAAAAAAAATTCTAAAAGTGATTTGTCTTCTTCCTCTTATCAACATGTTCAACAAGGTTTCTACTGGTATACAAAGAGCATTAATAATAATAATTCCAGACCTGATTATTTCACCATCCCAGTAAATGTTACACTGTATTAATTTAGATTTTATTTCGCTTTTTTCAAAGAAAATTAGAACTAGAGCTAAATTTTGTCAGAAATGGAAAGTGGCACAAAACTGTATGAAAACAAAGGTACTTACCACAACGCACACAAGAAATGGGTACTCCAGCGAAAATGTCAGTCGAAATCAAGCTAACAACCGGACCAGGAATCCCACTTTAATTAAAACCTACAACTGCCCTCTTCACCCAAATGCTCCTCGGCACTCCTAACTGACACAATCTCAGCACTTCCAACTTCCTCAAACACGCGAACCACTGTTTTTCTTTCTCGAATCAATTTCTTAGCTTCCTTCGGAGGTTCTTCCAAGTCTCATAAAAAATCAAATCAAATCCCACGAGTACAAACATTTGACACGACGAAGAAAAAGACGGCGAAACGAACGTCGAATGGATGGCAGTAAAATCGAACGAATGCAAAACGGTCGTACTTTCGAGTGTGCCGCTGGCCCGACGTTGGAATAAATAAAAACATTGCTGGCAAGGACCGTCAATCGTCGAGGAGGGAAAAATTGGATATCCAATGGAGGAATTGATTTCATTTTGATTCGCTCCTCTTTGTCGTTGACAATGGCTCGCAGCCTATATGTTCATTTCTGTAAAATATATGCGGGAAAATTGTGCTGGGAGCAGATATGACACGTACCGCTACTTGTCCGGCTAAATAGGTCCTCGTATCGGTCGTCTTATCGAGGACGAAACCCATTTCACACGTTTGAATGACTGAAGATCGAATTCTATTTATCTGGTCAAGAATTGAGACATACCACTTGCAGCTGCAAGGAGTTGCAGTACTTGTCCTTGAAAGAAGTAATTTGCACTTGTTCGACAAAAGATTGATAAGTACTACTGAATGTATCGTGGTTGGTATATTCTACTTGTTTGTGGAAACACTGATGTATACTATTTATTTGTAAAAAGATTAATATGCACTAGGTGATAGAATAAGTAGAATTTGTGCTACTTGTTGGTGTGATGATTGGTATAACTACTTACTTTAGAAGAGTAGATGTATATCAGGATTAGGTTGCAGTACTTGTCTTTGAAAGAAGTAATTTGCACTTGTTCGACTAAATATTGATATGTACTACTGAATGTATCGTGGTTGGTATATTCTACTTGTTTGTGGAAACATTGATGTATACTACTTATTTGTAAAAAGATAGAGATGCACTAGGTGATAGAGTAAGTAGAATTTGTGCTACTTGTTGATGTGATGATTGGTATATCTACTTACTTTAGAAGAATAGATGTATATTAGCCGTTTATGAAAATATTGGTATGTATTACTTACTTGACCAAGCATGATCTTTATATCACTTGTTAAATTAAATACCAATTTACGCCACTAGTTTGTCCATAGTAGAGTTTAATTACTGCAAAGGATAGTGAAAGTTTTAGGTAGCTCCTCCAGCAATAACTTCCTATTGTCTAATTAATAACCTGTCTGACATGTTATACAGAACAATCTCTATATCTCTCAATTGAATTCACTACAATCTAGTTCAATTAGTCTGTCCAAAACCTGACGAATACTACTTGCTTGTGTAAGGATATGTTCCACTTGTTTGCGTAGACACTAACATACACTACTTCCCTGGGTAAATGTAGTTTGTACTACTTGTTTGCTTAAACATTAATCCACATCACTTGTCCGATTAAATATAGATTCATACTATTTGTTCAGCCAAACATAAACTTTGCCTCCTGAAGTGATTAGTAAAATTTGAATACTCCAGTAATTGGTTTGATGTATTTGTCTTATTAATACCTCATTTATACTACTTGTGTGACAGAAGTCTCGCTCATCCTTATTCTACTAACGCGCCAAAAGAAAGAAATAAAATATTCAGCGACGACAGCGAATTGCAGATAAGTAAATTAGTTTGCCAAGAAAATAACTGACTTCGTCCAATCTGATTCATTTTGAACCACACAGCGAAACCCCAAAAGGAACGCGTAAAGGAAATAATTTCGCATTAATGTCCAGTTGACGGAAATTGGGGTCAGGATCCATTCAATATTCTCAACGCTGTTGAAACTTCTTCATCATGGCACATTCAATTTTCCAGGGTCAACAAATATGATAGCATAATAAAAAAATCATCGATCTGTCAGTGTCACGATTGATTACCCTGCCAGGAGACACATCTCGGCCCATAAAAATGAAATTCTCCCTCCGCCCCATACGCTGAAAATCGAGAATGATCTTTTGTTTTTTGTTCCACTTGTCACGTATACGCGAAAATTGAAAACCGGTCCCCCAATCGATCTCGCCCAAAATCGGTGAAAAGCGTCGACGTTAATTAAGGAAATCCAATTTTTGCTTTAACGAGGTCACGTGGCCCCACTTCAGGCCTTAAGGGGGTATTCTCATTTTGATTCGTCGATTTCACACCAATTTGCAAAATAAAACATTGTTAAATTGTATTTTATATATACATAATATTATTTTTTTTAAATATCGCAATTGTTAATATTTTTCTTTGTCGTCTAAACAAGTTGTAGATGTAATGAATTTCATTTTTGTATGAACGCCACGTTGTTATAAAATTGATTAGCTTCATTGTAATTCATGAGATAATTACTTTTATGTAAATTAGAATTGCTATGCAATTTACTTTTATATGAACTAAAATTATTGGAGAATTATTATTATGATAGCCACTGGAACTGGTATTCAAGGGATTTACAATATGACGTACGTGTTTGGTAATGTTTGAAGATAACAGATATTAATTTTCATGCAACACTCTTTATTTATAACTCATTCAATTATTCTTTATATTCTGCTGCATACCTGTTTTAACGACTGATACAATAATAGTTGCGTACTAAAGCTAATTTATATAAAAGGAAATTGTACAGCCATTCTAACTTACGTAAAAGTACTTACCTCATCAGCTGGAATGAAACAAATAAATTTTTATAACAAAATGGCGTTCGTATTAAAATGAAATTTACTAAATTTCTAACTTGTTTATCTGATAAGGAAAGAACCACTGTCGATACGACTATAAATTTTACCAAAAATAATAATATCTAAAATACACAATAATAAATTACATATAAACTAATTACATATTCACATTACATTTATCCACACAATATCACATAAATCATTTATTTATTAAATATAATAACACAATTAAACATAACTACAAAACGTATCTTATTGCAAAATAGAAGTCTCCCAAAGTAATCTATCCAAACCAAGACATAATTAAAACCTAACTTCCCTCTTAAAACTTTTCTTTCGAAGTACAGTTACAAAATTCGGGAATTCTTATGACACCCAGAAAACCCGCTATCTAATAACAATTTAAAAATGCATATACTGTAGCAGTACGTACATGGTGGTATCCAATAGAAGATGTCGAGCAACGATAACATTTGACTTTCTGATTCCGCCATTAAAATTCCGGTCGCAGTGTCCGTGGGCGGAAGTGATGTAAATGGCTTCCAGTGGCTGTCTGCGTCGGCGATTTACATTTATTTGTGGGAAACCATGGTCACGTGGCCTTCCACGAAGTCCAGGTTTTAGAGGAGCAATTTTCGAGGGGGTGGTCGCCTAAGTATTCGATTCTCGTCACGCTGCAACGCGTGCCGATACGGTCGATAACGTGTCCGTTTCGTGTTTGCAGGTCGGCCGCCCGATTTCCTCGCGTTCGTCATCACCATATTGATGATGCTGCTGATGGCCGCGGGCGTCAAGAAATCCCTGGTGTTCAATAACGTGTTAAACGCCATCAATCTCTCCGTATGGGTGTTCATAATGACGGCGGGCATGTTCTACGTGAACCCCGACAACTGGGCCGAGCGAAAAGACTTCCTGCCGTACGATTGGAGCGGTGTAAGTATCTTCGATATGATAGCGAGTGGATTGTGTATGTTTGTGTGATCGTCGAATGTGTGGTTTAATTAAAAATTGTAAAAATATAGCGGTTGTTCGCTGAAACAACGAAATTTCGCAAAGAATTACCTTTGTTAATTTATTTTACTTTGTTTTTGTTTAAGCAATTGGAAATGGTTTTATTTTTTATTTTAGATGGCGGTGAGTGAATCGTGTATGTTTGTATGATCGTGGAATGTGGAATTTAATGGGAAATTGTGAAAATATGGTGATTGTTTGCTAAAACAAAGAACTTTCAGGAAGAATGACTTTTTTTATTTTATTTTATTTTATTTTTTTATTTTAAATATTAATCTCGTACGATTGAACGTACGATTACAAAAATTTTACAAAGCTACATACATATCCAACGCAGTAAATATTCTGTCATTACAATTTTTAAAAATACTCAGAAAATGAAATTAAATATTTCTATCCTTTAATACTATCCACTAATTACACTATCACTTGACCTATTACAAAAATTTACACACTTTTTCTCTCAGTAAAAGTGTTTTACGCTCACTATCAAACCCCTTTCACGAACAGTATAGAAGGGAAATAGACCAAACGTGTCAGACAAACCACCCCTCGGTAGCAACAAGAAGTTTTGAGCAACGAGGGTGGAAAAGTAAAGAGGAGTGTAAAATAAGTCGGGATCGTGAAAAGAGGAGTATCCGACAGGCAACCATCCCGTCTGGTCAGACGCTTTTCTAGATCCCCGTTTCCAACCCCCGTAACTCGGCCTTATGGCCGCGGTTTGCGGGCAGCCCGCGTAACAATGGCAAACTTGTTGCACCAGATGGACTCCAACGGCCGAAACCGTGCGCATCAGGTGGACAGAGGGGGAAAGGGAATTTCGAATTCACGCTCCGCAAGAATCCACTAGGAACGTGTGGCGCAGACAGAGTGGAATTAGACCGGGTCGCTGAGGGGGTGCGTTTTTAGGGAGTGACATTCACCGTTGGCGTTGATATTTCCAGATTGCTGTTGCAGACTATTCCCAGCTTTACCTGAACAATTGCAACTTTGTTTAATTGAAAAACGGTTGGGTGTGGTCTCAACCCTTATGTTACTCCAACAATTTTTCACATTGCGAAACGTTGCGTCCTAGGAAAAAGTATTGCACTATAAAGAATATTGAATTAAAATATTACATTCTTTTCCATATTTTATTCCAGGGATTATCATTCCCTTTATTTGATTGATAAATGGTTAAGGGTCGTTTCAATCCCTTATGTTACCACAACAATTTTCCACATTGCGAAATATTGCATCCTAGGGAAGAGTATTGGATTATAAAGAATATTGAATTGAAATATTACATTCTTTTCCATATTTTATTCCAGGGATTATCATCCCCTATACTTGAGGGTGGTTTTAATCGCTTTATAACCTCGATAATTTTACATATTGAGAAATATTGCATCCTAGGATTAAATATTAAATTAAAATATTGAATTCCTTCCATATTTTAGTTTAGGGGTTACCATCCCTAAAATGATCAATGTCTTGTTAATCGTATTTCTAATTTTAATATTTCTAATTCGGTTTTGATGCTTTGAACACTTACTCTTTTATTGATGGTTAAGGAGAAAATATATTATACTAGGGTGGCTTCTTTTTTTATATTATTGTCCATATTTCACCCTCTCATAACCCCCCGTTCCCGTTGAAAATTTCCCCAGTATCTCCAACGTCTCCTCAACGCATAAATTTTTAATCATATGTTTTATACGGCGTCGGTTTTTCGTGACACGTACGAGACAGGTTGTTCGTGGCTTGGGAACCACCCTCATCCAGGGGGTGGATGAGTTTCGTACACTCCGGGTGACCTGGTTCCCGCCCACGAAAACGAAAGCAGGGTTTCGCTGTCGAACCTCGTACGAGATAAACGAGAAAGCTGTCGAGAAGCTTCCAAATGTTATCCCTAACAATAAAAAATATAATTACTAAGGGATGGTTTAAGGGTTGCTAAATTTCTACATAAACGGCCCTGAAAACCATCGTATAATAGATCCTTCCCACGATCTTTCTACCCCTGTGTGACAGAGGTAATACGACCTCATCAGCTAGCGTTGCCTTGCTAGGGGTGCTTTCCAATGTCCGCTGACCTCATCTCATCCCCCGTGTCTCGTCCACGCGTTCAAAATTGCATAACGCCGAGGTGAGGTCAAAGTCTAGCCGGGGATCAGCACTTACGATAATGTTGCGGTTAACGCGCGGTTAAATCTCGCTTAGTTCCATTGGGGGTGTTTCAACCCTCGAATCGATTAAAATACATCACTCCTACAAATTCAAAAAATAATCCTGCAGTAAATTGGTTCAATTAGTACAACAACAAGATGTGAGAAAATGATTTTTCTCTATTACAATCAACCTTGAAATATTCTGTATTAAAAACTGTACCTCTGATTGAAATACCACCTCCATAGTTTAAAAAATAATTCTATAAAGATCTGATTCAATTAGTACGATAGCTAAGGGTGAGAAAATAATTTCTTCTTCTTTGAATCAATCCTCCGATGTTGTATATTAAAATCTACACCCCCGATGCTCAAGTGGATGCTCAGAAAAGAGAAGGGGTAAAAGAGGGTGCGGAAATCCATTAGAAGGTAACGAGGAAGGTTCACAAGGGTTTCCATTAACCCCGAATAATAATCGGAATAAATAATATCCAAGGAACATCTCTTTCAAAAGAATTACAAAGCCACACCGTTCGATCGGAGGTGGTTTAACGAGGGCTGAGGGAATTGGAGGGGAATCTAGAGGGAAACTGGTTCACGGAGGACGCAAGGAAAGTCTCCGCTTTGTGGTCTTTTTCTCGTCTTCTTGAGATTCTTTCCTTTGAAGGTTGCCACCCCTTGTTCAACCTCCCCTGTAAATTAAACTCCACATTTTTTTATATTCGGCCTAGTCGAAGTTACGTAATGGGGTCGCAGTAATTTTTCTCCGTGATTGAGAGACGATCGCGTTGAAATAGGAGGTGGTAATTAAAATTGAGGAGAAAATGTTTCTGTATGTAAAGGTGAACTGTTACCATATAATATTTACTATGTTTTCACTAATCAATCTGAGTAAAATTCTACAAAATTTCATTACTACTAATATTCTTCAGTACATCAACTTATATTAACAAATTATATTAACCAAATTATATTGACTAAATAATAAGTTAACGTTGAATAACCATCCTCACTGCCAAGTAAACATTTCTTAATAATTCCAACTAAACTCTGCACTGTATTTACTGATAATTCCTAATCTAATCATCCCAATTTTTATTTATTACTTACTCATTCGCAGATCACTCTTAAAACAATTTATGCCTCGATCTGAATTCTTATTACATTTCCTACAGATCATTTCGTTTCGATATTTTTAGCCCATTAAAAATACAGAAAAGCTACTCCATCAGTACGAAAATTAAACAACCTTTTTCTATTCTAAATACATCCCACACGTTTCCCGAGCAAGACAGATATTCAGGGGTCGGGGGTTGCAGACGATGGCCTTTCATGAGCGGATTCATTCTACTGCGCGGTCTCGCTTGGGGTTGCGTGGGCGGCGAGTACGCGGGGGCGTTCATGAACCCGCGGGGGCGAAATACTACAGGGTCACGCGGCAACCTCTAACATTCACGAGCTTTTTCCTTTCAAGGGGACCTCGTTCAGACCCATTAAAATTTCACCCCCACAGGCCGCCGCCTCCGTCGGCGCCCTCCGTTCCTTCTGTGCCGGCGACGGACAAACGTCACCGCAATTAGATATCTGGGTGAGAACGTTAATCATTTTAGAAATAGTTTCCTTTCTGCCAGAACACTTCGGCGAGTCAGTAAATTGAACCGCTGGCTGGGATCTTGTTGACTTATACTACTGAGTCTCGTACTGCGGTCTCTTTCCTTTGGTCTGATGTATGACTGAGACATTCTACTTAGTTAAAGTGTTTCCTTGGTTAATTATGGAGGCTCCCATGGTGAAATTCAGGAGTAGGTATTGTTGACTGAGACGTTTTAATTTACGACTGGAGGGTTTTTCTAGATTTCATTTATGATAGGGCTATTCTACTTACTTAATTGTTTCTTTTGGTTAATTGTAAAAGCTTCTTAAGTTATATTACAGATCTCTAGGTCTGTACCATGAAAGAACTATCTTATTTATTCCAATGCTTTTGCTCATTTCAGTTGTAACGGATCTTGATTTATCAGTTTGTATCAGATATTATTGACTTATACTACTTGATCTGTATCTACAGCTTCTAACTCTAAGCCTTAGCCTTGAACTATTCTACTTCGTTAAACTTTTCTTTTTCTTTGACTACAACATTTCTTAGCCCAGCACTCCGGCCGATGTTTCATTGACCTACACTACTTAATTTATTCCTGTAGACTCTGTCTTTAAATCTGAAATGTGATAAAACTATTCTACTTCCTAGAACCCTTTCTTCCTTTAATCATAAAGTTTCTTGTGTCAGAATATTAGAACAGACATCATTGACCCATACTACTTAATCTACAACCACAATCTCTTTCTCTCTTTCTGACTTATGGCAGATATCTTCTACTTACTGAAACTGTTTCTTTCTTTCTTTAGTGACAAAGTTTCTTGACCCAGAATATTAAAGCAGCTGTTATTGACCCATACTGTTTAATCTACAACCACGATCTCTTATTCACTGTCTGGCTCGTGACAGAACACTTCTACTTACTTACTCACCACTTACCTTCCTTCTTTGATCCTAGAGGTTTTTAAGCAAGAAACGCCGCGGTTATTCCGTTCATCCTCCCCCACGCCTAAAATATAATTTTCTGCTCTTTGCACCGTCTTGTCTGACCAAAGGCGGCCCGTTTCTATTTCGTGCTCGCGGGAACTAATCAGCGATTCATAACAGCGCCAAAGGACACTGAAAAATTGAACAGACCGCGCGCATTCGGAAAGGAAGCTGCATCTGATGGGAATTTAACTCATCCGACTCCTCTGCACGGTATTATCTCTCTTCCACCAGTAAATAATTCCCGAGGAAGACACTTGATTAAATGAAAATTCATTACCCCGAGTTAATGAACCGCTTACTTTCGGAACGAAAAATTTCCTTCAGCCAACTAACTGGGAAATAATTGTCCTAGATGTTCCACCATCGATTATCCAATTTCCGGAAAATTTGTTAGCCCTTAATAAACAAGTGTACTTTTTTAAATGATCAATTGTTTTTTAAGTGAAGAGGATAATTTTCTGTTAGACAACGTTTGCGACAGAATTTGTAAAATGAGATACAGAGTTAAATTGGACAAAGTGATTTTGCAATAATAAACACTTTTATGTAATTATATATATTTTTAAAAAGTTATATAAAAAGATCCTTAGGTGCTATTAAAAATTTATACCATGCTATATTAAAAAATTATATAGTTTATTATATTATGTTATTATTTATAATATTTTCAATAATTTCTTTTTTAAATTTCAATTAAAACTTCTGATTTTGTTTATAAATCAGTCTACCGATGTGTCTGTTGGATACTAGTGAATTATTAAAAGTAAACGTTTGGATGGAATGAATGATGAACTGAGAAATGAATTTTATGATTAAACGTTCAGGGGTGGATGGATATTAATGAAAGATCATTGGTTCCAGGTGTTCACCGGTGCTGCGACGTGTTTTTACGCGTTCATTGGCTTCGATATTATAGCTACCACCGGCGAAGAGGCGACCAATCCGAAGAGGAGCATCCCTCTAGCGATAGTCCTGTCGTTGATCATAATTCTCATCGCCTACGTCACCAGCAGCATGGTCCTGACACTGGTTGGTGAGTGGCCCTTTCCATTTCCGGCGTGTTGCCTTCAACTACACCCGTTGCTCGAGTACTGCGGTAAACGTGAAGTGTCAGGTCGTCTTCTGAAGGGCTCCAAGGTCGGAGAATTAATCGGGGTGCCTTGCTCCTAATTTTCTTTGAATAGTAATAATTTATTTCGCGTGTGAATGTATACAATATAATTAAACGCAGTTGTGACTAGTGTTTCAACCGGTTTAAAAATTATTGAAAAATATTTAAATATTTACTTTTATGTAAAATTGCATTTGATGTCATTTGCGGGTGTCTAAACAATAATTTCCCAGAGAATGTTATGTAGCTCTTACAGTTCACACAATTGAAATTTTGATATCTTCTAAATTTAATTTTACAAAATTGAAAAATAACGAGCAGAAAGATTTTCAAGTTTGTAATCATTATCAATTGAATGTTGAATATTATGAAATCCATTGATTACAAAATAACGAAAGAATATCATAAAATATTCTTTTCTTTGTCAGTGTAAATTACCTGTCACTATAGGTAACATGATCACTGCTAATTATATAAACATTTACACGAATATCCGTAATATCACAATTAATTACAGTAAACATAAACTGTTAAACTAACATTAAGAAATTATGGTAAATATATAAACGACATATGGTTATTATAAACATACAGAATATACCAAATTGTATGAGTGTTTATAAAAACAGTGTAAACAAAGTGCCAGTACATTGAGTGGTATAATTAATTATAATTGCTGACATTTTAATGAATTATCCGGTTGGCTAGGATTGACCAGGTCGCGAAAGGCCCTTGGCCACCCTTGACCTCCCTTCACACGTCCCTGGCTACCCTTTCTGTGTCACGCTCATCCTCAGCCCTCGTCACAGACGTTGCACGGTTCGTTATGCTTTTAAATGGCGCCGGTCGCACTCGCGAGCAAAAAATAAATGTCTTCTCCTCCTCTGTCCTCTAATAACGTCAGCAACACCTGGAAGATGTCTAACAAAAAATGAATTTTTCCAGTACCTTACAACGAAGTGGACCAGGACTCAGCTCTGGTAGAGATGTTTGGCCAGGTGGGTGCTTACAAGTGCAAGTATATCGTCGCCGTCGGTGCACTGGCTGGTTTGACAGTGTCCATGTTTGGCAGCATGTTCCCCATGCCTAGGATAGTCTACGCCATGGCTCAGGATGGCCTCATATTCAGGTGAGATAATAATGATAATAAAGTTAACTGATTTGGTTTTTAATTATTTAAGGTCTGATAATATAGACGGCTTTCAATTAGAAATTTTGTTAGTGTTGGTAGTTGTTTATTGTTTGGAGGTGATTAGGTGCTAGACATAGTGAATTTTAATAGGTTTTACTACAATTTTAAATAGCTTTTCAGGTGATAATAGAGATAACCAATTTGGTTTTTAATTATTTGAGGTCTGATGATATAGACGGCTTTCAATTAGAAATTTTGTTAGTGTTGTTAATTCTTTATTTTTTGAGAAATAATTAGGTACTAGACACAATAAATTTTAATGAATTTTACTACAATTTTAAATAGTTTTCAGGTGAGGATGAAAATAACCAATTTATTTTTTAATTGTGTTAGATCTAAAGATATAAACACTTCTCGATTAGAAACTTTGTTACTGTTACTAATAGTTTCTTTTTTACAGATGATTAGATACTAGACTAAATTCCATTGCAATTTTAAGTAGTTTTTGTATTATTGTTTAATGAAACTTATTGTAAGTGAAAGTATAGTTAATAAATATTATACTAGTAAAAAGAACTTTCCATCAGCCTCTAGTTTCTATATGAATTCACAATTTAGAGATTGTTTAATTCTTTAAAGTTTAATTTCGTTTGAGTAGGAGTCTGAGCCAGGTATGGCCAACAACAGGCACCCCAGCTTTAGCAACGTTGACCTCTGGACTATGTGCTGCTGTGGCTGCCCTCTTGATCCGGTTGGAGGTTCTGGTAGAGATGATGTCTATTGGTGAGTTAGTTATTATTAGCTTTAACTATTATCATTAAGTACTCATCTAATTATTACTAACTCTATCCATCAATCTACTTATCTAAGGAATGAAAATTTCAAACGGATTATCCGTTATCAATTATTATATGTACTTCAGAACAAACATGTCAAATTATTAATATATTATTATCATAATAATATAAATTACTACTATATATTATATATAAATATATATATATTCATATATATTATTATTGCAATATATTATTAACGACATAGTATCCGTATAGTTGAAAGAGAAGTGATAGATCAAAGGTTCAATCTACCACTCTCATTGGATCCATCAAATTGATGAATCTACCACTTTCATTGTGCCTATCAAAATTCATTCATTTCACCCAACAGATCCATTACCTTAATTGTGTATGAGGTTCAACAATCCTATCACACACTCACTGAACCTATCAGATCTTCCGCTAAAATAAATCAATTCACCTCTATTTCTAGGTACACTTCTAGCCTACACTCTAGTGTCCACTTGTGTGCTGATCCTTCGCTATCAGCCTCACTCCACGAACCTGGTGGAGCTTTTGCCTCAGAGCTTGAGGACACCTTGTCGATCACCGACAAAAGAGACTCAGGGAAACGGACAGGTGTCTTATGGGAAGGAGCTGAGACCGGACCAGCTGACCACAGCTTTGAACACTGTTCAGACTAACCAATCGGAACTGACGACGACGAATAACGGCCAACGTATCATGGTTAGACTTATCTTCTATCTCATTCGAACATTGTCCTACTGTATTTTCACTATATTTATTCACTGTTGTTGCTGCTCCCAAAAAGGTATTTCCCGTCGTGCACCCACGTCTGTAATCTAACGAGACATCACAATGTTTCGAAGCAATTTTCGAAGATTCCGAATTTCATGGGGAACCCAGCTACCAATTTGTTCATTCACATATCCCATATCTTTAGCTCATCTAGTCAGTTAATAACAGCTCTTCTAGTCAGGTAGCAAAAGTAAATTAAACAGTATGAAAAATATAGAATGAATTAAATTAAATAAATCGTACATCTCGAGAACCAAACAATCTTAATTATTATTGCACTTTGTAAATATTATAGTTATCATAACTATTACATTTCCTGAATATAAAATAATTACCTATAATTTTATAGTTATTACAACTATTACATTTCCTAAATATAAAATAATTACCTACAAATTTATAGTTATTACAACTATTACATATCCTAAATATAAAATAATTACCCATCGTTTCATAAATCTTATATTCATTACACCAATTGCATTTCCTAAATGTAAAACAATCACACATCATTTTGTAAATTTCACGAACAATTCCCAAGAACATCGGCTTCTTCTCAAATAGAAAATTCGAGTGAGAAGATGCAACAGTTCCTCGCCAGACTCAGACGACACCTACGGTGCAGAAGAGGACGAAGTAGGCTTGGGCAAAGATGATCAGTACCTGGTCAGCGATCGGACTGAAAATAAATTCTACGGCAGCGTGCACGCAGCTGCAGCGGCGTCCAGCTGTGGTAGCGCGCACCAGTACCCTGGCAACACGCCGATCATAGGGCCACCGTTGACCTATCTTCAGCGTCGACTGCAGGTAACACTCACGGTCCTACAGTTAATTGTGTATCCGTGCCACTTGGTTAATTGTTTCTCGTTGATTACAGGCGGTACAGTACTTGTTCCCATCTATATTCCCTTGGGTGGACCGAGGTCCTGCGACAGAGGCTTCAGGACGCTATGTGATGAAGCTTGTTGGGATACTCTATCTGCTGATAGTGATCTTTGATTTGATCATTGTCTGCGGCATGGGTGAGCGCCGACTTTGATTTCTTGGGAAAAATACTTCTGATAGAGTTTAGGGACCGTCGTTGATCAAACGAAGGATTTTAAATAAATTAATTGTCCGATTGTTGTAATGAATGATGTTTATTTCAGTTGACTTAGGGGATCGTTGTTGATCAAACGAAGTATTTCCTTAAATGAACTTTAGATAACACGTTAAGCAGCATGTCAGTCACTGGTGACGCTTCTGAATTACTTGAAAACAATCGTGACGTGCGAGGTAACCGAATGAAAATGTTTAATAACGTAACTAAGTTGGTAATAATGCAAAGATTCTAACGCGAAATAATGAATAATTGTTTTTGCTTTTCTTTACTAGAAAAGAATAACTCCGCGGCAAAGTGATGAAAATTTTCGTGACGCTTGACGTGTTAATCATCTTATTGTTATAACTTAAATCAGTCATCACTCGTCATCATTCAGTTATAACAATGATATGGTTAATTGAAGTTTATTTAAGAAAATCCTTCATTTTATCAGTAATGATCTAGATTCTAACAAAAGTATAGATGTTTACTTAATAAATTATGTTAAAGGAAGGGGATATTTTGAACAGATAACTTTCATTTTTAACCAGCTCGGTACATAAAGAAATGTTATTTATCATAAAACAAAGGATGAATGTTTTGAAGTTCGGAACGCGTTTTGTATATTTCTGAGAGTGATGTGTTTTGCGGGTGTTCTAGGTAACATGGGAGCGATCACCACGAAAATAATGTTCCTGTTCCTGTTCGCCATAATTGGGGTGCTACTTGCCATCAGCAGGAAGCCGCAGAACAGGAACACCATGATGTTCATGACTCCGGGACTGCCATTCGTTCCTGCGATTGCTGTCACCGTGAACATATACCTCATCTTCAAGCTGAGCATCTTGACGCTGGTCAGGTTCACTGTGTGGATGATACTCGGTGAGCAAATTGCTTCTGTTTCTGATTGTCAGTGATTGTTTACTGAGTTTTCTTCTTAATAAATGAAGAGTTGTTAGTAGTTTAAATGAGCCTGTATCAAATTTTTGGTTAATTAATATAGGAAATGCTATTAAAATGCTAATAAGTTGCCAAATGATTTTTACTTGTTGATCAGGTTTCTCAAGATAGAGTATTAAATCTTTTTAGTTGTTAAGACTTGTTATATTATAATCTTGGGTAGTAAGCATTTTCTAACTTTGTACTTAGTGTCTTTCAATATGGGACCCATTATTCTTTAATTTAGGCTTGCTATTATGTTACAGTTTAGGATTTGTTGCTTTTCCAATTTAGATTCTCAACTATCCTTCAGTTCCTTAAACTGGAACCCATCTTACTTTCCGGCTCATATTAATACTCCAATTTTCAAGCAATAATTACTTAATGTAAATCCTAATTTTCTTTATAAGTTAGATCTTAAATTATTACTTCATCTATCTTCAATTTAGATCACAACATTCTTCTCAAGTTGGATCTTGAGTCATTATTCAATGTAGGGCCTACTAATAGTAGTTTAGGACAAAAAATCTTGCAGTAATCATTCTAAACCATTAACTAAGTTAGAACCTGGTTCCTCCAATTTGGGATTCATCTCTTCACCAACTTAAGCTCTAAGTTAATACTGAATTTAGGATCTACTGCTTTCAATTTAGGACCCCTAGCTCCCCAACTTAGCCTTTAATTAGTACCAAATATTGGAATTGCTGCTCCTAAATTAGGACCTATCTCTCCTCCAATTTGTGGCCTAAATCAGTACCAATATTACTACCCAGTGCTTCCAACTTCAAACCCATCTATCCTCAACTTAAGTCCCAAATTAATACCAAAATTTCGGACCTATTGCCATCAATCTAGGATTCATCTCTCTCCCAACTTATCCCCTGAATCACTATCAAAGTTACTACCTACTGTTTCCAACTTAGAACTCTTCTCTCTTCAATTTAAGTCCTAAATCATTATTAAAATTTCAGACCTATTACCTTCAATCTCACAATTCCTCCCCCAATTTGTCCTAAATCACTACCAAAATTACTACCTACTGCTTCCAACTTCAAAACCCATCTCTCCTCAACTCAAGTCCTAAATCAATACCAAAATTTCGGACCTATTGCCATCAATCTAGGATTCATCTCTCTCCCAGTTTATCCTAAATCACTTCCAAAGTTACTACCTACTACTTCCCACTTACCTCTCTCTCCTCAACTTACCCTAAATCAGTACCAAAGTTTCAACCTACTTCCAAATCACATCTCTCGCTTCACCTTTCCAGTCCTCTCCTCAACATCTTCC